GCTCTTTCACAGCCTAGCATGGTAAGGGAAGGGTATCAAATTCTTACAGAGATGCTTTTAAAAATAGCAGAATACAGCAGGTGTGCTGTGCTGAGACCTTATATACCTGTCCAGCAACAGTGGAAATGTAGAAATGAGAACTTGACCAAGGTAGAAGGAACAGAGGAAGCAAGAGCTAGAAAGGTGAAACAGTATGAGTAGAGATGATAAGCAGCTTGAGTTTGCTGATTGAATGTCCTACAGGAGGTAGATAGTGATTTAATTCTGTGGTCTGAGAGAAAGTTGTGTTTGAGAGTTTTCACACTGCCACTTTTGCCATTTATCTTACAGTTTAAAAGAATTCTTAGTTATCTGTATAGTTTTGTCTAGAATAGTTTTTCTCCTCACTTTTGGCAGATTTTTTTTCTTTTGTACTGGGGATTAAACCCAGAAGTGCTGAGCTTATATCCTCAGACCTTTTTAATTTTACTTTGAGGCAGCATCTCACTAAGTTGCACAGGCGGGCCTCAAACTTGGAATCCTCCTGCCTCATCCTCTGGAGTAGCTGTGATTACAGGCATGTGCTACTGTCCCCAGCTTGCCAGATATTTTTGATCAAGGCTATTTGGAGTCCTATATGCCTCACTTATCTGTATGTCAAGTTCTTTTCCCCTGCTTGGGAAGTTTTCTGCCATTATTTCTGTGAAGAGTTTTTTTATGTCATCTGCACTCTCTCCTGTTTCTTCATTGACTCCAATCAGCCTTATGTTATTCTTCTTTGCATCGTCTAACAGCTGGTGGATTGATTTCTTGTGTTCCCTTATAATCTTGAAGCAATTTTTCTTTTCCTGGTCACTAATTGCAATCTTATCTTCTATATCTGAAATTCTGTCTTCACATTGGCTCATTCTGCTGTGTAGACTTTCAATGGAGTTTTTCATCTCCTGGAAATTATTTCCATCTGTTTTATGGATTCCATTTGTTTCCTATGTTGGGTTTCCATCATGTTCCTCAGTTCCTCTCTAGATTTATTAATCATGTCTTGCACTAGGAGCACAATTTCTCCCGTTATCTGAGAAATTATTTCTGATTTCATTTTTTCCAAATCCCCTTTTGTTGCCATTTCAGTGGGTCCAGGTGGTTGAGTATCAGAGTGTTCCATCTCCTTTCCCTTTGGGGTTGCTGTAGGTGATCTGGAAGTCTGGTTTTGAAACTTATTTGCATGTTTTCTCATTTCGACTGGGGGGCAGGGGGGAGGTGTTCTGTTGGCGCCCGTGCCGATCACCTCCTCTGAGCTGGGAGAGGTGGGACAGGGGCTGGGAGCAGTGGTAGGGATGGTGGCCCAGAAGGCGGCCCAAAAGCCCTTTCCTGTGGTCTGGGAGCAGCGGGAGGGATGGTGGCCAGGAAGCCCCTTCCTCTGGACCAGGAACTGTGGGATGGTGACTCAGAAGCCCCTACCTCTGGGCCGGGAGCTGTGGGAGTTGCCAGATATTTTTTATTTGTCTATAGATGGAGGGTAATTGGATTACATGTGGATGGAATATTTCCAGTCAACAATTTAAGGCTAGGGTAACTTCCCTGTGTGCTAGCCTACTAACTGCAAAATAATTTACCGATAGTTTGCCTAAGGCAATTGTAGTTAGGTAGAATTTAAAAAGTTAAAAGTAGTGAGGTCTAGTGCCTGGTGAGTCTTATCACAGATACCTGTAACCAGTGTCACCATCTGTTTCCAGAACTTTTTCATCTTCTTGAACTGAAGCTCTGTGTCTTGTAAATAGTAACTCTCCATTCTTCCTGGCCTCTGAAAACCACCATTCTTTCTGTCAAGAGTACAGCTATTTCTGGGTTTCCTTGTAAGTGAGGTCATCAATTATTTGACCTGTTTTGACTGACTGATTTCATTTAGCATAATGCCCTCAAGGTTAATTCACATGGTAGCATTTGTCAGTTACCTGTTTTTGTTGTTGTTGGGTACCAGGGATTGAACTCAGGACCTTGTGCTTGCGAGGCAGGCGGCGCACCACCGAGCTAAATCCCTGGCCCCAATTACCTTCCTTTTTTTAAGAGACCTATTCCATTGTGTTTATGTACAGCATTTTGTCTATTTATCTGTCAGTGGACACTTGGGCTGCTTTCCTGGACTTTTTTTTTTTTTAAGAGATGGTTGGTTTAGTGAACAAGATGATAGAATTAGTTCTTTCAACTTCTGCCTATATTTGGATCAAGTCACATAACAACTTAGAGCCCTGATTTTTTAATTTGTAGAAATACAAATTTTTACATAAATGGTAAAGGTTTACCCAAAGAATGCTAGAGTATTTTAATTTTGGTGTGGCTTAATATCCCACCACCCTCACTTGTCCTGTACTGTTACTGGCCACTTAGGTTCCTGTGCTTGTCACTGACCAAATCAAAGGAGACCATGTATTTGGTAAAAAGGAAAACAGATTTATTCAAAGCTAGCTCTGAGGAGAAGGAGGGGGAGCCCATTTGCCTCAAATCATCATCTCACCCTGTACAGGTGTGTTGGGGCCTTTTGTAATAAGGAGCAGTGTGGGAGAGAATACAATGAAACAATAGACATTTTAAGGTTAGTTCTATCCCTTCTAGGACCCAGACCTCTCCCTCCCTTGCCTAAGGGAATGAAATTAGCCTTGACCTCAGGGTGCCAGGATCTATACACTCTGTCCATTCTTGGAGTAGTGGAGAGGTTGGAGAGCCATTTATGCCCTAGGCCTGAGAAAGTTTGGAAGCCACTTGACTCCAAAGGAGAAAAATCTAATTTCTAAGCTCCATTTTGCAATGCTGGCTATAATACTTCGGAATATACTATGCTGCTTCTCTCCTGCCCCCAAAATTGTGACACAGGAAGGAGGGTGGTAGTGGGTAGAGGTATTGTTTATTTTAGAAATAAAAGGACTCTTAGTTGATGGTAGTGAATCAATCTGCTACCCCAGTGGTGGCGAACCTATGGCATGTGTGCCACAGCAGTATATTTGTATCATTGAAAGCTCTAAAAGGTTCACCATCACTGTTCTGCTCTTGTGACTGAAGACACTAAGCTTTGCCTGAATTCCAGACTTACAGAATCAGTTGTCTAGTGGATGGATCATTTCACCTCCATTTCATTGTTAAAAACTATACCATCATCAGCATCACTACTACCTGCCACTATCACCCTTTCCAAAAGAAACATGGAGTCCAGTTTCCTTTAAGCCAGGGAAGCTATAAGGTTCAAGAAGGGAGGCTAGGTTAGTCTCAGCCAATTGTCTGATGCTGAGAAGAGTAGATAGGTGAATACTGGGAAGCAGTCATTTGATCAATTTGTAGACCATTGATCTGTGCACCAGACCTGTTCCCCACCCTTCCCCCAGTGAACATACTGGCAAAGCTTTGTATGTACTTTTTTTTTTTTTTTTTTTTTTTGTTACCAGGGATTGAACTCGGAACCTTGTGCTTGTGAGGCAGGCAGCGGAACCACTGAGCTAAATCCCCAGCCCTGTGTGTACTTTTTAAAATTACATCCTTCAGGCCGGGGATTTAGCTCAGTGGTTTCGATGCCTGCTGCGCAAGTGCAAGGACCTGAGTTCAGTCCCCGGTACCAAAAAAAATACTAGTGTTTTGTGTGTGTGTTTTTCAAAGTTATCTAATAACTTTATTGTAGTTTCTTTCCCCATTTATCCACAATTTATTCTTTTTGTGTAGTATAAGGTACACTTTACTTGGTTTGAAAATGATAGAGAACTTGAAGAGTAAGAAGTCATAGTCAGATCTGAGTGAAAGTTGGCTCCATATAACTTAGACCAGCCCTGCTGCTCTTATGTTTGACTCTGTAAAATGGAGGTAATAGTACTTCTGTGCTGCATAGATTAGGAGTGTGAATTAGTAAGTTATAGCATGGCATTTGGAAACCTCTTCTTGTACTTTGTAGATGTGACATTTTGCTCACCTAAGTGTCTTGTGATAAACATGGTATTTGGGTATTAATATTAGGCAGGTGAGCCCTAGGTATGTTTTGTATATTTGGTCTTGAATATCTTAAACCAGGTTATGATTTTAAAACTTACAAATGAAGCATTGCCATGTGTGTGGGAAAGCAACCTTTCTCTCCCCTCCTTCAAGTTATATATTTCAATGATAACTGTATATGGACTATGTTGGGCAAAATGGCCAGTATGGTCACCTTACTTAGAACCAAATACAGTCAATCAGCTGAGTTTTGCCATCTAGTGACAACATTGGAATCAGGAGATTTTTTTAAAAGCACTGTTATGTAGGCCTTACAACTAAATGATGTTATTCCATCTAGAGAGGAACCTGGGGGTCAGTTTTATTAAAAGCACCTCAAATGATTTTACTGTGCAGCTAAAGATGAAACTCATTGGTCTAATGAAAATAGAATTTGAGGGTTTGGTGGCATTCTTCTATACACCGTTGCTAGGTTACAAAGTATTGTTACTAAACAGTTGTGGCCTGTATCCCTGGTAGGGCTTCAGGAGTACCTATACCAAAATCTTGTAAAAAGTGGAGACCTGAGGTCACTTGACAAGTTCAGTTGTGTTGGAGTACTAGTATATACTTTGTACTCTCCTAAGAAAAACATCCCCCAAAGAGTTTTGCGGGGGAGGTTCTTGAGGGTTTTTTGTTTTTTTGCTGGAGATGGGTGGTTACATAGAAAGTTATACTTGTATATTTTCTTGGAACAATGGCTGGTGTATCATTATCTGTTTATTATATTGAATGTGGTAATGAAACTAACTTCACTTTCCTCTCTCTCTCTTTTTTTTTTTTTTTTTTGAGACCGGGTCTAGCTATATAGTTGAGGCAGGCCTTGAACAGGCAGCCATCCTCCTACCTCAGCCTCCTGAATGCTGGGATTACAGGCGGGCGCCACCACGCCTGGCTTTCCCTCTCATTTCTATAGCCATCTCCTGACTTGATTTACTTGCTGATACTACATTTGCAGTTTTAATTCATGTTTTTCATATCTAAAACAAATGTACTTTTTTTTCCTCTTATAGGTTATGCAATGGTCTCTGCAAGATGGTTTATTCTTGAATTGGAGCTTTTTAAGACTGACAAATGCTGGTACTTCATCTTCTATAAGTGGACTATAATTTCTTTTCTCAAGACAACTACATAAGCAGACAAAATTGCAAAGATCTGTCCTGTGTCGAGTATGACAGCCACGACTCGTGGCTCTCCAGTTGGAGGGAATGACAACCAGGGCCAGGCTCCTGATGGCCAGTCTCAGCCCCCCCTCCAACAGAATCAGGTAGGGTGTTGAAGGTAATTGTTCTAGCTATGTTGGTATGTCTGCTGTGGGGTACTGAATGATGAAGCAGGTTCTGAATAAGAAGTAGCCATAAAATCATTACCTTTTTTCTACTACTTCTTCTTCTTTTGGTATTGGGGATTGAACTTGGGACCTTGCACTTACGAGGCAGGGGGCAGAATCACTGAGCTAAATCCCTGGCTTAAAATCATTATCTTTTTTTTTTCCTTTTTTTTTGTACCAGGGATTGAACTTGGGACCTTGCGCTTGCACAGCAGGCGCTGGAACCACTGAGCTAAATCCCCAGCCCTAAAATCATTATCTTTTTAAGAAAAGTGAACCATAGGTCTTGCATAGCAGCAAGAAAGTGAAAGTGTTGTGGATAGTGATGTTTGAGTGTATGATCCATTTTTCTGGTATCTAATGTTGTCATTTGTCATTAGAATTAAGTAAGCTGTGTCTGTTCTGGAGAAAATATGAAACCATGATAAACCGAAACACTTTATATCTCATAAATGTGTACAATTATAAATCACCAATTTACAGGGGTTTTTGTACTGTGGATCAAACTCGGGACCTTGTGCTTACAAGGCAGGCTGCAGCACCACTGAGCTAAATCCCTGGCCCTACAGTATTTTTTTTTTTTTTTAAAGAGCATGGATTTAAGTCATATTGCTAGTGGTTAAATTTCAGTTTTGCACTCTACTAGCTTTGAGACTTTAGGTCATTTATATAACCACTAAGTTTCAGTTTCATCTGTACAATGGGGATAATATATCACTACTTCATAGCTTTGTTAATAAGAGTTAACAATAAAATGATGTTTGCAAAGGGGTTAATGCAGATTTTGCTATCAAGATTTTGTACTGGCCTTAAACCTCTTTGGATAATTTTGTTATCCTTTGAATGAATTTATCTGTACATTTTTCATTAATTGTGTGGAAGATTTTCCTGGTGGAACCATCTGATCTGGGATTTTATTTGTGGAAAGGTTTTACTTGCACATCCAACTTTTTAAAGTAGTTTTCTGATTTTTTTTTCCCCCTTCTATTTGTGTGTCTTTTGGTAAATTGAGTGTTTCGAGGAATCTGTCCATTTCATCTAGATTGTCAAATTTGAGATACAATTGTTTATCATATCATGTGTGCACACATGTGTGCTAGGGATCAAACCCAGGGCCTTACACATGCTAAGCACATATTCTGCCACTGAACCCCCTCATCCACAATAGTATCCTTTTAATTATCTTTGTGTCTTGGGGCCTGTGGCATTTGTTTATTTCCAATAACTGTCAATTTGTGTTCTCTCTACTGATCAGTTTTTTTTAGGGGTTCACCAATTTCAGTAAACCTTTCCCAAAAAAACAGCTTTTTTGGCTTTGGTTCTCCCCACCCACTCATTTTCAACCTTATCTCGGTGATCTTTTTACTTCTTTTGGATTTGACTTGCTGTTATTTCTTGAAAGTTTAGTTAATGATTTTAGCACTTTCTCATATGTATAGTTTTATATTGGGAAGTATTAAACTAGACACTAAAATTTGTGATAGGTAGCTTAGATAGTGCTTAGGGATAGATTAGTAGGGTGTGTATATGAATCAAAATATGTTGCCTACAGTTGGTACATATTTTTGTGGACTCTTTAGTAAAGTTTTAAGGCAGATGTATTGTTATTATAGAGTTTCTAAGTTCTCATTGTCCAGCTATTACAGAATAGGTATTTCATCACTAGTCTCCTAGCTTTTTTTTTTTTTTTTGGTACTGGGGATCAAACTCAGGTCCTTGTGCTTGTGCTTGTGCTTGCGCTTGCGCAGCAGGTGGCAAAACCACTGAGCTAAATCCCCGGCCCTCTCCTAGCTTCTTTTTCACTTTGCCATTTTAGAGAAATAAGCAAATCAGGTCTCTTTACTCCAAGTGAATGTGTCAACTTTATTACTTTTTCCTCTCTAGTTCCCAATTTTAAGACATCAAATAGTAATGCATTTGGTGTTAGAGCTCAGTCTTTCTTGTGTCACAAATTTGATGGCCAGTACTCAGATTTCTTTAAGCATGATTTTGCCAAAGATTGCTTTTTTTTGGTAAGAGGGATCGAACTCGGGACCTTGTACTTGGAAGGCAGGCACAGTGCCACTGAGCTAAATCCTTGGACCCAAAGATTACTATTTTTAAACCAGGAGGTAGTAGTGAAGAGTTTGTCTCCAGCTCTGTCTCTGTATCTCTCTGGCCCCTCCTGACTCACTTGTTTTGGTGGCCTTAAATTGTTTAAACTGTTGTTCTAGTAATTATATTTCTAGGATCCTATCTTAGGAAAAAATTGAAGTTCAACATAAAGATTTATATATGAAAAAATATATTACAGCTCTATAAATTACAAAATACTAAAACATACCTTGGTCTTATTGAAGTCAAGTAATACTCTAGCCTTTTCTTACTTGAAGTTCTTGGAGTGGAACCTAGGGCCTTGTGTGTGCTAGCCAAGGGCTCTCCCAATCCAAGCCCCACCTTTTGAAATGAGGTCTCACTGTTGCTTAGGCTTGTCTTGAACTCTTGGGCTCAAGTCTCCTGCCTCACTGTCCCAGGTAGCTGGGACTATAAGTGCACCCCTGTGCCCAGCTTGGCCATTCATTTTTTTAAAATATTCTTAGTAAAAAATGGAACACTGAGATGTCTAATGGAAAGGACACAAATAAATGTAAGCAGGTATAATCTTAATTGTACTAAAAATTCATACATGTACAGTTTCCATTTAGCTCATAAAGATCACAGGAAATAACTGTTATTGGTATGCTATTACAGATTTTTGTTGTTTTGAAGTACTAGAGATTAAGACCAAGGCCGCCTCTCTGAGCTACATGCACAACCCTTTTTTATTTTGAGACAGTCTTCCTAAGTTCCCCAGGCTGTCTCAAATTTGGCAATCTTCCTACCTCAACTTCCCAAGAAGCCGGGATTATAAGCATGTACTATGCCAAGCTTCTATTACAGATGTTTTATTTATTTATTTATTTTTATTTTTTGGTACCGGGGATCGAACTCGGGTCCTTGCGCTTGCGCAGCAGGTGGCGAAACCACTGAGCTAAATCCCCGGCCCTATTACAGATGTTTTAAATTTTATTTTTGTCTATATTTTCTGTGAGCATGTGTATAATACATACGTGCTAGGAGAAAATTTTTGTTTTCAAATCAGGTTTCTACAGTTAACCTACTTTCAAGATTTCAATCGGTTGTTTCTTTTGGGATTTTAACACTTGAATTCTGTGCCTTGAGACTAGCTGTGTGGCATCTGTGCACTGTCTCCATCTCAAATAAAAATTCACCATTTGATTGCTAATTGACCTTACGAGTTCATGTACAAACTTTAAGTAGAACATATTAATGGCAGTATACCAGCTGTCTTCATGCAAACATTTACGCAAGTCTGTTGATAGTATAACTACGCAGTAGGTATTTAAATGATAGAGGAAGGGGCTCTTTTCTAAAAGAGCCATCGACCTATGGTGACTAGAAAATTTGAGTATGAATAAAAATAAATTTAAAATTTAGGTTGGTTTCATTTTGAAAGAGAAAATAGCACTTACTTTCTAAATTAAAAATAAGGATCATGGTCTGGGGGTATAGGTCAGTAGGTAGGGCACTTGCCTGGCATGTGTAAGGCCCTGGGTTCAGTCCCCAATACCAATAAGGAAGGGAGGGGTGTAATGATCATAAAAGTTTATTTAGTTTATTGTGAAAATACTATGTCCAGCTGAAGTTGGGGGAAAGAAGTGTGCTAAAAAATAAGAAAAAATGAAAATTATCTAGAAACTACAGTCATGTTTTTAAGTTACTGTTGTTGGATAATAGTGTGAGTAGGGAAATTATAGAAAAAAATATTTAGATTTTTTTTCACTTCTAATTTTAAAAGTAGAAGTTATAAATTATAACTGTTTCATATGTATGCAATAATTTGTACATCACGACAGGGGTCTTTTAATAGAAAGTATAAGCAAAGAAGTGGTATAAATTGGTTAAGAACATAGTCTTTAGAATAGACTTTCAAATCCTGACTCCAGAGTTTGAGCTGTGTAATCTTACTGAGTTTGTTTTCTCATCTATTAAACAGCAGTAGAATATTTTGTTAGACTGTTAAGGACTAAATGAAATTATTTTAAGTCACAATAGCACAGAGGTGCCCTGAAAGTCAAACTTCCATTAATACCGTTTGCAAAATTTTATAGCATTTACAACATTTTTTTCAAAATCTGCAACATTTATCTGTTGATATTTGAATTACTGAATATTGTACATATGTTAAACTTAAATCTGCATATTTAATCTTTTAATCAAGACTTCATCGCCTGATTCTTCCAATGAAAATTCCCCGGCAACTCCCCCAGATGAACAAGGGCGAGGTGATGCCCCACCACAGATTGAAGATGAGGAACCTGCATTTCCACATACTGACTTGGCAAAGTTGGATGATATGATCAATAGGTGAGTCGGTTTTGTCTTTATAATGTATGTCGCATACAAATGAGTTTCTCAGCATTGTGCCTGATAGTGGATAAGAGTGAAGAGGAATGTCACAGTAACACCACTGCTACTTCGATTGTCTCACAGTCACTGCCAAGTGCTTTGGTTCTTAATGGATTTAATAAATAAAAGTGTTTTTAGATTAATGATAATCCTAGGTGGTGTGTTTCTGAAGTAGAACTAGAACTGTTTGTGTCAGTTCCCTTTTCTAGAGTTTTTTTCTCATCAGGGTGGTTGCTGGATGACTAATAACATTGAGGTGGCCCTGAGATAAACCAGGTTATGAGGAGACTTAGTTCCTCAGAGCCTGCCCTTTGTGAACCCAGAGTGAAGCTTTAAGCTTCTGTGTAGGACAAGAAAAAGACTTTAAGAAAGTAAGAGAAGAGCATGTCAAGGAGCCAGCCCCATATGGGTGTGGGCCTTGTTAAAGAAAAAATAGTCCACTTTTTGGCCAGGCCTTGCTACACCACACCCTCTAGTTGGCTGTTCTCCTGCGGGACCCTGCCTCATCTGTGGGAGGAGGTGAGTTTGGCCTGGCCATAGTGATCTACAACACATTGCTCCCAACAGGTATGGTCTTCCCTGGGTCCACGGGCTGTGCAAGGAAATTCTAGAGAGGTGTGACACATTCCCTGCCCCCCCCAAAAGGAAAGTAATGAATACACTCTTACAGGCACTTGTCTGACCAAGTTTTCTTCATTGTATTTTCACTTTGCGTGCATAATGTCAGGGGAGATAAATACCCTTTGCCTTTAAAATGTGAATGCATAAGTATGTTAAACATAGAACTGTATTAGGTAGGTATGTTTCTCTTAATTTCCCTCTTTTTTTCACATGTCCCAACCAAAAGTTACTGTTAACAATTAGGGATACATTCTTGCAGATTATCTTTGAGTTTACTATTGCTTTTGCTATAGATAGGATTGTTACTATAATTTTGTAACTCATTTTCCTCACTTCATTTATCTTGAATGTTTTTCCTTTAAATAGTTAGCTCATTGTTTTTAATAGTATATTTAAAATAATACATTATATATGATTCTGGAAGCTACGTATAGTACAATGAATTATGACCAAAAACTGTGTAAAGATGTTTGTAATGGCCCTTCACTGTTCTCTGTAGCAGAGACGTCAAAACAGAAGGTGGTATGGTTGCTCTTCAATTTAACTGGGGCTTGTTGGTAAAGTACTCACTATCTAGACTAGAGGACTGCATCCATATTGTCTTTAAGGGAAAAAAATACAGAGGATTTTTTAAAAAATGACAAAGGTCATATACATTTGTTTTTAACAGATTATCTGGTAATGGAATGCCTTATTAAATTACAAGGAGTATTTTGTCAGGTCTTAGGATAGAGTTTAATAAAAGATAAATGGAAGAAAGCTGGGTGTTCTAGGGACCAGTGGGTGAATTGGGTGTTGGTTAGGAGGAAAGGGTAGGAAAAAGATGGACAACTCGATGATTGGGCCAGGACTAGGACCAAGGAGAAAGTATCACTTGGGTGTAGGTTGCATCCCTGTTTGAGGGAGGAAGGCATCTGTAGAAACATGGAGGCTGCAGACCATTGCTCACCTAACCTTCAGAAAAAGTCTGTGGATTATGATGAATTGAGGCATAAATCATTTCTTTGCCTCCTGAAGTTTTTGTTCTTTATGAAGTTCAAGATATGTCTCCTCTAATCTGAATTCTGAAAGAGCCCTTTCCTATGAACTTCAGTAAGAGGCATCTATGATATATAATTAACTGATAATTATAGTACTTTGCTATACTTTATTGAAATGATTTAATTTTATTCCCTCATTGCTGTATCTTTCATGAAGTCTTTAAGAAATTCTGTTTGTAGAGACAATAGATGGTGCTTGGTCACACAAAGCAGATACTCTGTCAACCTGGTTCTTTTAATACAGTACTTTGTTATTTTGGTATTAATATTTTCACAGCAAGGTAAGTAACTATAATTAGTAGCTCATTTATAGTGCCTCTTATAATCACAAACAGTAAGCATCTTTTTATTTTATAAAAACTCTTAGGCCTCGATGGGTGGTTCCAGTTTTGCCAAAAGGGGAATTAGAAGTACTTTTAGAAGCTGCTATTGATCTTAGTAAGAAAGGTAAGTTTTGATGTTGTCATACTTTGCATAATTTATGCTACTACATATATAGTTTACTTTATCCCTGTTATAAACACAAGCTGTGGGGCCCGGGGATTTAGCTCAGTGGTTCTGCCGCCTGCCTTGAAAGCGAAAGGTCCCGAGTTTGATCCCTAGTACCTTAAAAATAAATAAATAAAAATAAAAAAATAAACACAAGCAGTGGCTTATAAGGCCTTCAGGGGTATTTATGAACTCTGAAGACATTCAATTTGTGAATATTCATATTTCTAAGGAACAGTTCTATTGCTTAGTCCTATTTGTAAAAAGGTTATCACTCAAAGGTTACACTTTATTTTTAAATGAGGGTCCGTTTTATGAGGTATGATAATACATGAAAGAACATTTTACAGTTAAGTACTCTAAATGATGGATGCTCTGGACTTCAGATATAACTGGCTTTGCTTGTGTCTTTATCCTGAGCCATTTCTGATCTTAAGATACGCGCTATGTAAATCTACAAATTCTGTACACTTGCCCTTTGTGAATCAAAGGACCTGTGTACCTAACCTAGTAGTCTTCATCCATGATCCTTTGAATAAGGATTGTCATTTTATTAATACTGTGTTTTAAAACTAAATTATTTTGAGTTTTAGTTTTTTTGAAACAAGAGTCTCACTCTGTAGTTCAGGCTGGCTTCAAACTCACTATGTATCCCAGGCTGACCTCGAACTTGTGGCTATCCTCCTGTCTTAGCTTTGTGAGTGCTAGGATTATAGGTGTGCACCACCACATCCAGCTTCTACATGTGGTCTTACTAATGCACAGAAATGGTGTGATTTTTCTCTAAAAGACTTGAAAGATGAGATTCTATGTTTTTAAAAAATTTAAAAGCCAATGAAAAGGAATCCGGTATTTTTATTCAGTTCAGAAGTAAAACAATATAGGAATTAATCTTTTTGCTTACCAGGCATGGTGGCGCATGCCTGTTATCCCAGCACTGGGAGTGCTGAGGCAGAAGGATTGCTGCAAGTTCAAGGTCAACCTGGGCTTACACAGTTCAAGGCCAGTCTGAACTACGTAGCAAGACTCTGTCTCAAAAAATAAAATAAAATTACTTTGCTCTACTTTAGGGTACAATTTTTTGAATTATCTTAGCAGAGAACTATTACTATAATACTCTGATTTTTAAGGCATTGGAGATTAAAAAGCAGTAACAATTTCATTTTCTGAAATAGGATAGCCATGTGTGTTAGCTTTTTACTGTAACAAATACCTAAGGTAATGAGCTTATATCTTACAGCTGTGGAGGTTTCATTCCATGTTCTGTTGGCCCTGTTGCTTTGGGCCCATGGTGAGACAATGTCATGGGGTGTATATGGTGGAGGAATGTTACCTTCTAGTGGCCAAGAAGTGCAAGAGAGGGTGAGAGATATTGATGTCCCACATTTACCTCTGAGGGCGTGCCTCCAATGTCCTAAGACCCCCTCTCTAGCCAGTAGTGGTGAACCTATGGCACGCGTGCTGCAGTGGGCTGTTTGTATCATTGAAAGCTCCAAAAGGTTCGCCATCACTGCTCTAGGCTTGCTCTCCACGTTTCCACTCCTTTTATAACTTTCAATAGATATTATAACAACTAGAGTTAATAATGAATCCATCTTACTCCCTCTCAAGGGGAAAATTTCATTTATCTTGTAATACTACTCTTTTTGTTTAAAGTGTTCCCACCGCCCTGAACCAAAGTAGGACTGTCCCACCTTGCCCTGTCCCACTCTGGCCAATGGGACAGGCATATTTGTAACACCAGTGGTTTATGCCACCCTACAGTGAGACATAGGAATTATGACCCAGTTGTGAATGTTTTTATTAAATGTTTCATTAAAGAATATGTCCTTATGCCTTATACAGAGAGTCTTTTTTTTTTTTTTCCCAGTACTGGGGATCAAACTTAGGACCTTGGAAGGCAGAAACACTGCCACTGAGCTAAATCCCTGGCCCATCCTTGTGCCTTATCTTAAGAAAAGTTAACCAAATTACACTTGTCTTCCACTACTCAAATATATTATTCAATTTAGCAAATTTTTGAAAACTTATGTGCTAGTCATGCTCTAAATCCTGACTACAAAATAATAGGTAAAGACAGATAATGATATTTAATTGCATTGACATTCAGTGGATTTGTATCCTTCTCCCTTCCTTATTTTCTAGGGCCATGATTTATTTTAAACAAAGTTAAGCTTAAGTGTCATCCTTATTGTACAATCAAAGTGAAATATTAAAGCCAGGTGTGGTGACACACACTTATAATCTCAGCACTTGAGGAGGCTGAGGAAAAAGGATTAAAAGTTTGGGCCCTGCCTGGTCAACTTAGCAAGACCCTGTCTCAAATTTAAAAAGGGGGGTGGCACGGGACTGGAGATTTAGCTCAGTGGTTCTGGCGCCTGCCTCACAAGCGCAAGGTCTCGAGTTCAATCCCCAGTAGACCTAGACCCTCCAAATAAGTGGCAAAAAAAGGGGGGCTGAGGATGCAGTACAGTGCTAAAGGCCTTAGGTTCAATCCCTACCACTGGATGGGGAATGGGATTCTGTAAATTGAAATAGTTTTCCATTTTTGTCTTTTTTTTTTTTTTTTTTTTTTTTGGTACCGGGGATTGAACTCAGGTCCTTGAGCTTGCGAGGCAGGTGGTGCAACCACTGAGCTAAATCCCTGGCCCCTCGTTTTTGTCTTTTAAGAGTTATAGATGTTCTTTGTATTTGATGGCAGATGGCTCTTTTTTCTCTCTCAGCACCGGGGATCAAACTCAGGACCTTGCACTTGCAAGGCAGGTGCAGCACCACTGAGCTATATCCCTGGTCCTCTATTTTAAATAAGATGAAATTAAGCAAAGATAGAAGCATGTATACATTTAGACAGAGGCTAATAAAGAAAACAATTCATCTTATTTGAACAAACTTAGTGAATAGTATAAGGATGTGGGTGCTGAATGGGTAATTTATGAACAAGATAAGATTTTTTAAAGTTGTGAATGTTTTTAAGGTTTATTTTCAGTGAGTAAAATGCTATGAAGTGTTTAGATTCCTTATCACATGCTATTGACAACCATTTTGTTTTTAAGCTCCAGTGTCTTTTTTTTTTTTTGGTACCGGGGATTGAACTCGGGACCTTGCACTTTCGAGGCAGGCGCTGGAACCGCTGAGCTAAATCCCCGGCCCCACTGTCATAATTTTTAATGTTTTCAATTAGCATTACTAGGTTTAATGTATTTTTACATAATTAAATTTTTGTTGTTGTTGTTGTTACGGGGGATCGAACTTGGGTCCTTAGCTTGCAAGGCAGGCGGTGGAACCACTGAGGTAAATCCCCGGCCCAAATATTTTTAAATCTGTTGGTTATTTTTCTTTGTGAGTCAACTTACTGTATAGGAACTTTGAAATGAGAATAACTTGACAGTATATTTACTTTTTTTGCCTCTTACATGATGTGACTCCCCCTAACTTACTCTGCATTTGTGAGCTGTCATTGAACAGTTTCAAGTTACTACCTTTTTGTTATAATTGGATATTGTAAAACAACTAGAGAAATATTTTTTTTACATTAAGTTTTTCTCTTCATAGGCCTTGATGTTAAAAGTGAAGCATGTCAGCGATTTTTTCGAGATGGGCTAACAATATCATTCACTAAAATCCTTACAGATGAAGCAGTGAGTGGCTGGAAGTTTGAAATTCATGTGAGTCTTGCATTTGACTTTAAAAGATCAGATTTACATAGTGATCCCTAGGATGAGAAGGAGATGGTTGGGGCCTGGTACATTTGGTCCATTAATGAATTAAAAGTATAAAAATAATGCTTTTTAAATACTTTTTTTGCAAATCTATTAAAGGCAGCATGGTCATTAAGAATGAGCATGAGCGGGGTGTGGTGGCATACGCCTGTAATCCCAGCATTCAGGAGGCTGAGGAAGGAGGATCACCATAAGCTCTAAGGCCAGCCTGGGCTACGGTAGCAGGACCCTGTCTCCAAACAAAGGCATGAGATTGAGAAGTGATAAAACATGTTTTAATCTGTCTCTTGGGTTCTCTAGTGCCTTGTGATCTCAAACAAGTCACATTTCGTAGAAGATGTGGTGCTATCAGTTGTAAGATGCACCATCGTTTTACGTACCATTAAGGGCAAAAAACACCCAACATGGGGAATATAACACATTTGAGACACCACGCAGGTCAGTGTAAAGGTAAATGGAAAATACATTCATCATGCAGAAAAGAACAGCAAAGAAACGTGTATTTCGACTTTGGCATCTGGTACAGGGAGGAAAAAATGATCTAAAAATTTAAACCATAAGCGAAAGTGGAGTATTGAAAGTAGTTTGGGGTGAGTTTTTGTCCTGAAGTGACTTAGTTATAAACCCAGATCTCTTCAAACACTTCAGTAACTCATTGATTATAAAATAAAGGCAGATTTTAGAGATCTTAAAAAGTAAAAACTTTGTGTATTAGGCTTTTTAAATGTTAATTTCCTTTTTTTTACAGTGGAAATGGTCATAAGTTGTAAAGCAACCCATATTTTTGTCATCTGCGAACAATGTCCCAGCTGTGATTGTGGTGTAAAAATTCCAGGATCTTGGGGTGGGGATTCAGCTCAGTGGCACGGCGCCTGCGTTGTAAGCCCTGCCTCAGAAGCGAAAGGTCCTGAGTTCAATTCCTGGTACCAAAAAACAAAAAAAAACATGATCTTCTGATTTACTGTGTTACATCATAGGTTGTACACAGGGTGATCAAAAACTACAGTGAGTGTTTAATTTAAAAATTTTATTACAGTGAAAGACATACTGCCATTAATCCCCATCAAAGTACTCAAAGTTGTCTTGTTTCAAATACATTCTTGGCAATGTGTCTTTTATTGTAATAAGGTTTTCTAAAATTTATTCAGTGTATATTTTGATTACCTTCATATATAATAGGTTATAGGCTTAGAAATGGGAAGTTTGAAAGTGGTGTCATTTAGGATAGCAAATCTATTCCATATTGGGTAATTGACATTTAGATTTTAGAACTGCTCCCTCTGGTGTACAAATTCCAAAGAAGAAAATATGGTAATTTGCATCTGGTCTATAGGCAAAAGGCAGAAATTGGTAATTTATGGCACCTGCTTTGTTTTTAAGCACAACAAATAGCTTTTGAAAGTAGGTGCCATATAAAATATGAAGTAAATAAATGCTAATGTGTCTTTTGATAATTAGTTTGATTCCAGTACTAGTGAAATTCAGTATAATTCAAATAATCAGTATAGAAAAATGGAGAAATCATTAAAATATAAGATAATCTTATAATATTTGTTTGAAATTGCAACGCTTTGATATTCTAAACACGTTTCTCCCAACAGAGATGTATTATTAACAATACTCATCGGCTAGTGGAGTTATGTGTGGCCAAACTGTCCCAAGACTGGTTTCCACTTCTAGAACTTCTTGCCATGGCCTTAAATCCTCATTGCAAATTTCATATCTACAATGGTACACGCCCATGTGAATCAGTTTCCTCAAGTGTTCAGTTGCCTGAAGATGAACTCTTTGCTCGTTCTCCAGACCCTCGATCACCAAAAGTGTGTTGGTTTGTTATATTCAAAATTAAATCTTATGGTTGTTTTGCTCTGCCACGGATCTTTCAGTAATCTGAACCTCCTATTAACATGGTGAAGAATAATTTCATTCCTCTTAAAGGAATTCTGCATAATTTTCTGTTACAGATTTTTTTTTAACCAAAGCTATAGTATTTTGTTTCTACTACTACAAAGTTTTTCTGGGTTGAAATTAAGTCTAACAGTCAAATTTGCATTGAGGCTTTATATGAAAGTAGATGGAATGAGGAATCTTTTTTATACAGCCACAGCATTGTAGTTCAGTGTTTATGGCCATCTTTCATTTTTACTTTTTCCATGAATAATGCCCATTGTTTTCTGCCCAGCATCTTTGAAAATAATCATCATTTGGGTTAGCATGAAGCAAATCATATTTTTCCTCTGTAATAAGAGTAAGAGATTGGTTCTTTGATTAAAGACCTCAGGTGTTGATCTGTAATGTAATCATTTTTCACATTCTAAGATTTAGACTACAAAATCAAGTATATCCTGTAAATGCAAAATAATACCACAAAGGTAAATTTATAGAAATTATAGGGCAAAATAATTTTAAAAATCACTTAAATGAGCTGGGCATGATGGCATACATCTGTAATCCCAGCATGCAGGAGGCTGAGGCAGGAGGATTGCCATGAATTAAAGGCCATTCTGAACTACATGGTAAGACCTTGTCTCAAAAAACACAAAAAAACTTTTACAAAACACTTAAATGTATAAATTTTTTTCTGTACATAAATTTAAACTTACTTGTATCAATGTAAGCAGATTATATACCTTTTATAAATCCTTTGTTTTACTATATACTTTTAAAAATGTATCTTTAAATTGTTTCTTTTAATAAATATTAAACAATATACAGTTTTTAAATTTTAGAAGTTAGGGAAACATTTTTGGTATTGTAGATATTACAGTTTTTTTAACCAGTCACAAAAATTTGAAGTCGTAAACAATGCTGAGTTTAGTTTTTTAGAAGTTGAAATCATCAAAAATGAGTTGAACTTAAAGAGGTGACATTTTGTTTCCTTGTTCATATTGTTGCCTCTAGATGGCTTGCTTTTGCTTGACTAGATCAGATAAATACCAAAATAAAACTCTAGAATCTCCAGAATCAAAACTTGAATCTGTACCCATACTTCTTTTTTCCTGCAGTACTGAGGATTGAACCCAGGGCTTTGTGTATATTAGGCAAGTGCTCTAGGACTGAGCTATATTCCCAGCCTTCTTTGTTTTTTGAGAGGGTATTTATAAGTTACCCAAGATGGCCCCAAACTTGGGTTCCTCCTGCCTCAGCCTCCCAAGTAGCTGTGATTACAAGCATATACCTACCACCTTGCCCAGCTGTTTTGAAAATTGATTAAAAGAAATATTTGGTAGAATTTGCAACTACAGTATGTCCTTAGATGTGTCCAAGCACCAAGAGATAATAAACTGAAAGAAATGTAAATGCCCATAATTTTTTTGTCTTATTCTCCAGTGGTGGTACAGGAAATGCATAGGACCATACATTTGGGATTTTTGTTTTTCAGATGTTGAAATATTTACATACATGATTCACTGGTTGTGCATCTGTAATCCAAAAATTTGATGTGTCATAGTTCAAATTTTGGGTTTTTGGATTAGGGAATATTTTTGAGCCATACTATTTAATCTTCACTTTTTCTTCTCTTTAAATTCTCTCCCGTAATTGAACTTTATGGCCTCAACATTTGACCCCTGACAAAACTAAAGCTGTCAGGGCTGTCTATAAGAGAAGTTGCCTGACTGTGGGAGCATCTCCTCTGCCTCCAGCCTCCCCCCAAGATCTTTGAAGATGTTTAAATGAACTTTTATTCAAAATATTAAAAATTTAGTAAAAATCTGGTAAAAGAGATAAAAGGTCTCAGGTAAAATTCACCTATACTATCTTTGGACAAATGGAACTTGTAGTAATAGTTTAGGTTAAACTACATTTTAAAAATATGACAAGCTCTAGGCTGTGTGATCATTTTTATGTAAAGTGACTGGTCTGCCCTTTCCAGTCTTGACAGCTTAGAGCCAGATAAGGAAGACTTGTTGCAACTGCTAAATCTAGTAGCTTATTAACTACATTTCAGTGTGAAGTACTTAGAATTCCTAATTACATAAAATATATTTCATCTCAAGTATGGAAAGATTAAGCTTTCAAGTAATTCTTTACTGTGTGTACACATTCTATTTTATATAATACAGTATATGTAACTGTTAAGTGTATCAGTCCAAGAGTCTCATCTTTAGTTACTAAAGGAATAAAACTATGTAACCACCATGTACTTTTTTAGAATTTCTGAATCCCAAAAGGATCTGGTGAATTAAGTACTCAGAATTTTAATTGTTTTGAATGAGCCTTACCAAATAAAAAGGTAGAAAAATAATGACTTAGGTTGAAATATGGTGGTGGACTTATTAGAGAATTTAGTTCATTTAGATTATCATAAAATTAAATAGCTACCATATTTTCTTCTTAAATATTAACAATAAAACCTTATCATTTTCCCTCTTTCCTAGACTTTTTAAAAACAACTGTAGAAATTACTCTTGTTTAAGACATAATAGAGAAGTTGTTTCTTTTCCCCATGTTGTTCCCTCATGGGTTTCTGAAATGTTGCCTGTTAGAGGAAGGTTGTCTTAGTTACATTAGATATATTTTTAATACTTATTTAACCTTTTAATGCATCTTAAATTTTTGCACATAAACGTGCTTTTAACTATACAACTGTTGCCTATCCCAGCTGCATTGTACTTTGAGTTACTGCTCTTTAAAGAAGATTTGAAAGACAATCCATAATGTTAAACATTGCTAGTTCTAAAATAAGAACTGGGTGCATTCATAAAAGTCAGCAGAAATATCACCCAGCATGTTGATACAAAGGTACAGCAGACGTGATCAATGCCAGGGGAATACTAGGAAATTGTGCAGGTCTTTTTCTCTTTGTCTCTTTCTTGCTCTGTTTCTTTTTTCCCCTTTCCTTCCTTTCCTTTCTTTGTGGTGGTGGTGGTGGTGTGTTGGGGATAGAACCCTGTGCATGTTAGGCAAGTCCTCTACCACTATCACATTCTCACCAGGAGTTAGTTTATAATTGATAACTCACACTCAGACTTCAAGATTATTTGGTTTATTGAGAAATCTTAATATTTACAACTACAATGAGAAATGGATTCAGAATTCACTCCACTAGTGATTTATTTTTTGAAGTCTTTATCTCATTTTAATAGCATTTTTTCAGATAGAAGATACTCTTATGATGGGGTCATTGAAATAGACACATGGTTTCTAATTCTGTTCACCAGCCGTATTGGTATGAACAGAGCTGTGCCGCAGTGATCGAATCTATACTTGCTAATGAGCTGCTGCTGTCTCACAGGTGGGATTAGTGCAAACGATGCAGTATTTTCAAGTCTTTGACATAATTGGTCTTGAATTTACTGTTTCTAGAATGTATCAATTAAGGTAGTACTATTTTCCTCCTAAAAGCAAGGAGTTAATTTTTTTCCCTAATTGTATTTCAGGGTTGGCTAGTGGATCTTCTTAACAAATTTGGCACTTTAAATGGGTTCCAGATATTGCATGATCGATTTATTAATGGATCAGCATTAAACGTCCAAATAATTGCAGCCCTTATTAAGTAAGTTATGTTTTAAGTGAATGTTCATTGCACATTGAAGTTGGAATGTTATTGCTTGATTTTAATAAATTGAGTTATTCTAGTGTGGGTTTCTGAAGAGTTTAGTCATAATTGTTAAGAAATTGAGTATTACAAGTTTCATATCTTTGTTATTACAGACCCTTTGGACAATGCTATGAGTTTCTCACTCTTCATACAGTGAAAAAGTACTTTCTTCCAATAATAGAAATGGTTCCACAGTTTTTAGAAAACTTAACTGATGAAGAACTGAAGAAAGAAGCAAAGAATGAAGCCAAAAATGATGCCCTTTCCATGATCATTAAATCTTTGAAGAATTTAGCTTCAAGGGTTCCAGGACAAGAAGACACTGTAAAAAACTTAGAAATATTTAGGTTAAAAATGATACTTAGGTAAGTTATTGACACGTCTTGAACAGTCACGTATGTGGATTTTTAGAATCATACTTATCACTGAATTTCTTTTATAGATTACTACAAATTTCTTCTTTCAATGGGAAGATGAATGCATTGAATGAAGTTAATAAGGTGATTTCTAGTGTATCATACTACACCCATCGGCATGGTAATCCTGAGGAGGAAGAGTGGCTCACAGCTGAACGAATGGCAGTATGTCTTTTGGTTCTCTTTTTAGTAAATAAGAATCTACTTGAGACAAAAATTTGAATACTTTGACATTGCCACATTATTGTATTTTAGAAAGTTATGTACAATAGATTTGAAATTTTAAAAACTAATCCTTTATAGGTGGGGAATGTACTTTTGTAGCACAGTTTTGAGCCTGACTAGTTTTTATTCCCAATAAGATAAATACTGTAAAAGTCATATGGTATTTCAGTGTTTCTAATTTATGAAGTATTTCAGTATCTGCAAGGTTAGGTGTTAAGAAATTGTGATTTTTTTTTCCCCCATAATTTCAGTGTATTTTTATGTATTTTGGAATTTCTTTAATGATGTGAACAATATATTTTTTAAAACTTCTGTTTTAGTTTCTGCTTTAAAACAAGTTTTTTAACATTACATTTAGGAATGGATACAGCAGAACAATATTTTATCTATAGTCTTGCGAGATAGTCTTCATCAGCCACAGTATGTAGAGAAGCTAGAGAAGATTCTTCGTTTTGTCATCAAAGAAAAAGCTCTGACCTTGCAAGATCTTGATAATATCTGGGCAGCACAGGTAAGGAATTTAAGGTGCCAGTTACTTAGTTTTTAAATGAAAGCTGCTAAAAACTAAAGAAATATAGTAGTCTTCATGAAATGGAATGCAGGCTTGTGGTATTTGACTTTTAAAACATTTAAATGCTTGTTATATTTACAGAAATCTGCCAGGAAAGTTTTTGAAATAACCAAGATATTCTATCTTTTTTATTTGGCAAAGCTTGTAGTTTGTAGGTAGTTTTAAATAAGTAGCCAGAAAAGAAAAGTAGCCAGGCCTTGTGGAGCATGCCTGTAATCCCAGTTCTCGGGAGGCTGAGGCAGGATGATGGCCACCGAGCTCCAGACTAGCCTGAACTACACAATGAGATATTGTCTCAAAAAACCAAACAAACGTAACATGATTCTTTTTTTGTAGACTTAGTAAAAAGAAACCACCAATATCAGGAGAGTTAAATCATTTTTTTTTGGTACCGGGGATCAAACTCAGGACCTTGCACTTGCCAGGCAGGTGCCGGAACCACTGAGCTAAATCCCCGGCCCAGAGTTAAATCATTTTTAATTTATAAAGACCAGTAATCATTTAGTCTATAGAAATGAAGAAAATAGCTTTGCTTTTAAGTATTTAGGGATAGTGTTTTGGAACAATATCATTAGTGAACCTTATTTTTCTTTTATTTATAATATTAAAATTGGTAAAAAATAAATAAATAAAAGAGGCCCTAAAAGGAAAACACCTCTGGCATATTGTTCAGCATTAAAAAATATATATATATATTAAAATTGGTATTTGAATTCCATAAACTGTAATAATGGTTCATGTGAGCTGCTAAAGTACATATTAACTACATATATTCAGAATTGCCAGGGTTTTGATAAAGCATTTATAATATTAGGAATTTTAAAGCCAGGCATGGTGGCACACACCTGTAATCCCAGCATTTGGGAGGCTGAGGCACGAGGATCCCCAGGAGTTGGAGACCAGCCTGGGCTACATAGTGAGTTGAAGTCCAGCCTGAACTACCAGCAAGACCCTCTCTCAAAAAACCAAAGGGGAAAAATACATATTCGGGATTTTAGGTTACATAATTAAAGAGATGGGAAGAACTTCATAGTTTTCAGCAGTGAGTATGCCACTATCATTACTTACTTTCTAGTGAGCTACGCTTTTCTTCATTTGTGTTTTTCAATAGGCAGGGAAACATGAAGCCATTGTGAAGAATGTACATGATCTACTGGCAAAATTGGCATGGGATTTTTCACCTGAACAACTTGATCATCTTTTTGATTGCTTTAAGGTAATTGTTAGCGAGGAAAATCATTACTATTTTATTTTATATTATTATTATTTTTGGGGCGTACCGGGGATTGAACTTGGGACCTTGCGCTTGCAAAGCAGGTGGATCACTATTTTATTTTAAATAGAATTCATTAAGTTTGTGAATTGTTCTTAGCCAATAAATAACAAATAGAAATCCCACTAAAAAATATTTGGTGGTGCCGTGTCTGCCTGGCAAGCTCAAGGTCCTGAGTTTGATTCCCAGAACCGGGGAAAAAATTTTGGTGACTTTGCCATTGTTTTCCAATGAGGACGTGATTTTAATTTTGTTATAGATAATAATAGCCCTGTCTTAGTTATTTTCTCATTGCTGAGACAAAATGCCCATCACCCAAAGTTGAAGGAGGAAAGGTGTACTTTGGCTCACAGTTTTTAGAGGTTTCAGTTCATGGTTGGCTGGTTCCAAGACAAGGTAGCATGGCACAGGGGGATCGGGGATCACAGAGGAAAAACACTTCATGGCAGGCAGAAAGCAACAAGGCAGCAAGCTACAAGTGACCAGAGTAGCCTTGTTTATGTCCATTACATTCTATCCAGGCTACATGCCCTTCCAGGTGGGTAACGCTCACACCCAGGGAGGGCCTCCCCATTATTCACTCCTAGAACTGTGCCAAAGCAATCAGTGGACTAATTTAGTAATCACACATTCTTGATCCCAGCATCACACACTCTAAATCCAGCCACCTCTGAAAAGCCCACCTATGACCAACTGCATGAGGCTTTGGGAGATCAGACACAAGCCATAACAAGCCCTCGTAAATAAGGAATCTCATTCTCTTTCAGAACTCAGGTTATCATTTTTCATTTCTTTACTTGGCAGCTTGTGTTTTGGTAATAGATTGAAAGTGAACTGTAGGACTGCCTGGATAGATCATTGATTACAGTGAAAACAGATAACAGCAAGGGAATGCTAATGTTGCATTCTGGGAGCATAAGCCCAGACAAAACATGCCTAAATGGAAATGTAGCTCAGTCAGGTAGTCTAAGACCCTGACAGTGGTGTATGCTTTGGTGCCATCATGTGGTTTTTTTTAAAGGCCATATTGTGTAACAGTCTCCCAATGATGACTGAGGTTGGGTTTGTAAAAGCCCAAGTGGTTAGTGAATTTGTGGATTAAAAATATATGACCTTAAGGCAGTATTCTCAAAGGGATAGTCTCTACACTTTGGAAAATACTTTGTTATTTCTGGTAAAATACAAAATTCTCGGGATTTACCAGTTTGACTTCTGAATACATACTTGAGAAACTCCTCAATTCATGTTCAGAAACACTTGTAGCAGAATTGTTTGTAAAAGCTAAAAACTACTATGTAGAATGGATGAACAGTTCAAGGGATAAATTTGTGGAATGTTCCTATAATGGAATACTTCACAGCAATGAGCATGAATACATTAGAGTAACAAAACCACATGGATGAGTCTAATTATAATTAGTAGAAGGTTGAAGAAAGGAATAAAGTCACACTAATTCATAGCCTTTGATTATATTCACATAAACCTCAGAAATAGTCCCAGCTGGCTCTGGGACACTGCTTACCATGTGTTATATTTGACTTGTGTAATAGTTACACAGATGTTTACATTATGTACTATAATGTACATATGTTTGTATTTTCCTAGATGTGTGTTTTACACTATGGGGGAAAAACTGATTATTGATTTCCATCCCAGGCATATAAAATTAGAATTTCTAGGTATGAAGCCTGGTAATCTGTATTTTAAGCCATTTTCTCAGATGAGTCTTAAGCATGTTAAAGTTGTAAACCTCTGCCTTATGGAAAAACTTGATACTGAGTGAATCTTTTGTGTTTTAAATATCTTTTTATACATATAAAAGCAAAATTCTTATACTCCCCCCCATCCTCTGAAGTATGTGAAAGGTAGCTGAGCAAATAATAGAATCAGTTATCAAGGGTACCCTACAATTAATTGCCATTTGATTTTATTTGATCTTGTGATGACTTCTGAAATGGTAAGGGCCGGGGATTTAGCTCAGTGGCACTGCACCTGCCTCCAAGTGCAAGGTCCTGAGTTCAGTCCCTGGTACTGGAAGGAAAAAAAACAATGAAATGGTTGTACATGACCAGCCATGGCCATAATGGAAGAAGCAAAGTTGTTCTTTTGTCTCCTGGACCATTTTCTGCTTAGGATGGTCTAAATAAAATCTCTCACATTTTTCCCTTGGCTTACCAAATATTTATTGAGCACTTGGTATTTTTGGTGAAATACAAGCTTTTTTTTTTTTTTGGTAAAGGTGTTGGTAAATCTAGCAATTCCTATGGAGTATTAAAGTTTCAAAGGGCCGGGGATTTAGCTCAGTGGTTCCGCCACCTGCCTCGCAAGTGCAAGGTCCCAAGTTCGATACCCGGTACCAAAAAAGGAAAAGATAAAAGTTTCTAGTAAAGGTGACCAGAAGAAACATGAAATCTGAGCATCTTTGTAGTTCTTTATACAACCAAATGATCCCAACTTCCTCAATTAGATTTAACGTAGGTCCTTCACCCAGATTGTAGTTTTTAAATGTTTGAATACTAAGTAAGACTTTTTTCTAAGTAGCTATATCAATTTAGTTCCATCAAGGTTTTTCACATTCTTACCAGCACTTGTTTTTGTCAGCATTCTAAATTTTTGAAGTCTGTGTGTTGTGAAATGTTACCTCGTTGTTGTGTTAGGTTTTTTGAAATCCTTGATCAGTAATGAAAGAACATGTTAAATTTTTGAGCTACTTTTTATCTGTGTGTGTGTGTGTGTGTGTGTGTGTGTGTGAAAGCCAGGTTATCTTCAAGTTGTCTTTGAGGATATCCCATATTTGCTATTGTAAATAGTGTGTGATAATTCTATTGAAAGGATCTTCTTTACTGGGTACGGTTTCACATACCTAAAATACTAGCAACTTAGGGGCCGGGGATTTAGCTCAGTGGTGCTGCTCCCTGCCTCAAAAGCACAAGGTCCCAAGTTCGGTCCCCAGTACAAAAAAAAAAAATACTAGCAACTTAGGAGGCTAAAGCAGGAAGGTTGCAATTTCATGCCCAGCTTGGGCAATTTATTGAGATCCTGTCTCAAGATAAAAAGGGGGGGGGGTTAGCTCTTGTCTAGCATGTGTGAGGCCCTGGGTTCAATCCTCAGTGCTGTTAATAAAGGAAGAAAATATTTAATGCAGTCAGTCTGTTGTTGGCCATTAGGTTTGTTTTAGCTTATCAGTGATGAGTTACTTATCACTGATAAGTAACTTTGTACGTAATAATTTTCCCATATTGTTTAGCAGCATCCCTGACTTCTTATCCACTAAATGCTGCCAGTATCCTTCCCTTTCCCAAGTTGTGATAACCATACTGTATTAACTGGACATTTGAAAGAGGGTCATTGTTGTTTACATTTTAAAGTTCTTAAATGAATATTCTATCTCCTAAATTGAATTATTGTACAATCTTCTCTCCTATGTGGTGTCGTTTATTTGTAAATTATTTTCTTGGTTCATAACTTAGACTTTCACTTTTTTTAAAGTGTGTGATGCACAGTGTTGGTCAGCTTTTTCATTTGTTAGGAAAATCTTGGTATATCAAGCTCTGTCATTTTCTAGTATAAAATTACAAATAGGTTGAAACTTAAGATGGGGATTTTCAGTGGGAGGCTATTCTGGGCTTGTGCCGCCCCCTTCTGTTGCCCCCAGTGTTTGGCAGTGTCTGGAAACATTTTTGATTGCCTCAACTCAGGGAGTTGTTGCTGGCTTCTGCTGGTGAAGGCCAGGGATGCTGCTAAATATCCCATAGTGCACAGTATAACCACACACAATAAAGAAGTTTCCAGCCCGGAATGTCTATTAAAACTGAAATTGAGAAAGGTTTTTTTTTTTTTGGTACCAGGGATCGAACTTGGGACTTTGTGCTTGAGAGACAAGGCGGCAGGACCACTGAGCTAAATCCCTGGCCCACTTGAGAAAGTTTTAAAATTGTCAGCGCATTTAACTCTAAATAGAGGTTTCTCTTTTTTTCCTGGAATTTAACTCTGGCCTGTGAATAAATACTGTTGTCTCTCTGGTGTCCCTTGAATACTTCTATGCCCATCAATGTTGTTTTTCCAATGAGCTGAATATAGTTAACCCAGTAACACTGTATTTAAGAAGAGATAACCAAATATGAGTTATTTTCTAAATCCTTTTTTAGGCTAGTTGGACAAACGCAAGTAAAAAGCAACGTGAAAAGCTACTTGAGCTGATTCGTCGTCTTGCAGAAGATGATAAAGATGGTGTGATGGCACACAAAGTGTTGAACCTTCTGTGGAATCTAGCCCACAGCGATGATGTGCCTGTAGATATCATGGACCTGGCTCTTAGTGCCCACATAAAAATACTAGATTATAGTTGCTCCCAGGTAAGAATGTACTGATTTGCTCACTTTTTGTGACCTTTCTCCTTCACCTTTAGGATGGCTTAGTTGCTGGATACATCCAGGTTATCCCAACATTGTTATTTTTTTAAATGATCTTCAATAGTTATCTCTGTTCACGTAAGACTGCCTTCCTTTACTTACGCCGCCTCTACGTTAAGGTTTTATAAATCAGTTGAGTCTTCCTGTTAGTGGTAGTATTGTCAAAGGTATGGTATAGAAATACTTGTTTCAAATACATCATAAAATGTGAAGGCTGATTAGGGCCTTGATGGGTAAGAGAAATTAGGTTTTCTTTGCTCATAAGTAAGTTAAAAAAATTAATAGAATTTCTTAAACAGTAGACCATGTAATCAGGATGCTAAATGTTAATCCTTGATTCTGTGATGTGGTAGAATCTCTTAAGAACACTGGATACAGCTAAATACATGAAAAATTTAAAACTACCAGTACTGAACTTTTATAATCGTGCTTTTACTTGTTGGAGTTTTGGGAGTAAACGTAAGCGTTTTTCTTAAAAATCTTAGTCTAATGTTTGTGATACTAATCTTAAAAGCTTTTGTTTTATAATGTAAAATAATGTGAAAGGAGAAGAATGAATATGGATCTGTATAAAACATTGAAATTGTTTGTTTAAGGACCGTGACACACAAAAGATCCAGTGGATAGATCGCTTTATAGAAGAACTTCGCACAAATGACAAATGGGTTATTCCTGCACTGAAGCAAATTAGAGAAATTTGTAGTTTGTTTGGTGAAGCACCTCAAAATTTGAGGTAAGACTTAAATCTAGAATTTTAAATATTATTATTTATGTATTCTTTTGAAAATAACAGCAGTTGACAAGCAAATTTTAAAGAAAATTAGTGAATAACGAGACTAAGGAAAAGATTAGCTTGAAACAAAAAAACCCATTGCCATCTTCAACATTGTTTTATTGATGAGGAAATAAGCCATAATTAAATAGGTATCAGAATTAAGATGACGATATTTCCTTTAGGTTCTTGGTTCAGAGTTACATCTTCCATCAAGTATGCCAAATGGTTTCATAGCATGTGTTGTGTCTGTTAACTATTTTATCCATCCTGTCTTTGTTAATTTTGAAACATTACACTACTACAGAGTGATTGTCAAAGTAAACTTTTTTTTTTTTTGTAGTCAATGTTTTGTTTTTGTTTTTGTTTGGTACCAGGGATCAAACTGGGTGAGGCAGGTGGCAGAACCACTGAGCTAAATCCCCGGCCCTAGTAGTTAGTTTTTAAAGTTGATTTTTTTTTTCTTTTTGGTACTGGGGATTGAACTTGGGTTCTTGCGCTTGCGCAGTAGATGGCAAAACCCCTAACCTAAATCCCTGGCCTAAAGTTGATTTTGAAGACTAGACTGCAAGGACATTTAAATGATGGAAGATAACAAAATACAGAACAAGTTAAAAATACTTTTTTTTTTTTTAACTTTTTTAAGCTAAGTTTCTTTTAATACTAGCAGCTTTCTTTAATACTATCTTAGGTGCCAAATTCTGCTTATTGAAATAATTTGTCCTTGTATTTTCTGGTAGTACAGTTAGAACTAATTTTTTTAAAAGGAAAAGTAACAGTGAAATGTGAACCTTGTCTCAAACTAGTTATTTAATCTTACAAACATTTTCTAAAGAATCATTTTTCTTCTATCTAAGATTAAATGATTGTCAAGGCCCATTACAACTCTGGATTACTGTGATTGTGACTAAGTAAAAAAGTCATATATATGTTTTGATGTTAACAGTTGAACTTACCTCATTTTTTTTTCCAAAGCTGGAAAAAATAATAGGAAATTAGAAAAGCTATAGGAATAATCACTGAAAAAAATTTAGACATTTGTCTTAAAAATAACATTGATTTGAGGGACGTACTTTGAGTATATTTGGCCCAATGTATGTATGTTACTTGGCCTTTTTTCAAATAAATTCATTTGTTGGAGATAGGCATGGTTCATACACTCTACTGAAGATCATTAACTTCATCTCCACTAGAATAATAGTGGCCGTGAAAGTTGACTAGTTTCAATGAATGTGGCAAAAGATTTGAAAGAAACTAGGTATCTTTTTTGGTGACACTTATGGGCAACCTTGGCTACAACCAAGTCTCCCTATATGTATATGTACCTTGAATAGGTATTTAAAACTTGTACGAAAACATTTTCTTTGACTAAAGTCTTCACCAGCAGTTGCAATCTAGTCTTGCAAAGAATGTTTGTTTTAAAATTCTGAAAATAATTGCATAACCTAACACAAATGCTTTGAGTACTCCTGTAGTACAGGAGTAGAAATCAGTCACTGAAGTAGACTCCCAGGGGGTGAAGTTAGAGGATACTGGTGCATCGTTTCTGTGTATGTAGGAGTAATTGCTTGGTTTTTGCAACATTTTTTTATTTTAAATTTCCATTGAAGTAAATGGACAAAACTATGGTCTTTAAGTTTTGTAGTAGCTAAGAATTTAGAAAGTGTAAACTCTTGATTATAGCAGAGTTTAATTGCCTAATTATATTGTTAAGTTCTTCTCGTTTCAGTCAAACTCAGCGAAGTCCTCACGTATTTTATCGTCATGACTTAATCAATCAACTTCAGCACAATCATGCCCTAGTTACTTTGGTAGCAGAAAACCTTGCAACTTACATGGAAAGCATGAGACTGTACGCTAGAGGTGAGTATAAGATAAATTGAACTATGGAAATACAGTAATAATGATCTCTTTGCATTGATTACCTTAGGAGCGACTCATTTTAAAAGACGGAAGGTAGTTAATTCTGTGAATTATGTTCTCTTACGGGCTTAATAATCCAGTTTTACTCCCAGATCTTGTACAACCTAAACTCCAGTCCAGCATTTCAAGGCTCTTGACTCAGTGCTTGCCTTCCCCACTCTTCCTTATTAAGTTGATTGGCTTTTCTTCCCTGACTGGGGAGCTCTTGTCAGTCTGTCATTGGTTGTTACCTTCCCAGGTATGTATTTGTTTCCAACCTTTATTTCCCTGCTTACTACCACCTGTAGCTTTTCAAAAAAACTTGTTTAAGTCTGTTCTTACATGTAGTTCTTTTACAATCCTATCTGTTTTTTAAGTGCTTCAGACTTAGTGAATTAAATATTTATGAATTAAGAGATGGAAGGCTATACAAATCCAGATTTTTATGTATTTTGGTACCGGGGCTCCAACTCGGGTCCTTGTGCTTGCACAGCAGGCAGTGAAACCACTGAGCTAAATCCCTGGCCCTAGATTTTTACATATTTTGAAAGTTTAAACATATTGAGGTAAATTTTCCTGAGATTTCAACACATGATTTTTAAGTGCCTGCCATATGTGGATCGCTGTGTCAGTTCTTTTGCCTTTTAACAATTGTGTCAGAATCTGTATACTGAAGTATAGATGAGTGCTTACTACACATTCTCCTCTGTCATACACCAGATTCATAGTCTCCCCTTACCCAGCCTGTCCATGTTGTAATCTCAAGTTTGTTCCCAGAGCCATAGACAAGAGAACTTTATATTATTAGTGTTAGAGACAGAATTGAACATATTGGTTATTAAACATCATTCTTTTAACATGTTATATTTATAATCTACAAAGCAAGTAGTGTATATTAAAAATGAAGATACTTCTCATTTGAAGAGCAGAGTAGACACTTGCTATTGTAGAATAAAATTCCATGGTGCATATAATCACTAGATTTTTGTTTAAAACTTAAATTCAGGTAAACATAAAGGAAGAATTAGGCAACTCTTTAAATAGCCTTTCTGATTTTATTGTCTTCCACTTTTCCCTTTGGGCCAGCTGAGTCCTGGTAGGTAATAGGTTATAGAGCTAGACAAGTAGTCTGAGCAGTGGACAACAATCTTTTATCATTTCAGTCCTACATTCCTAAGCAGCAAGATAGAACAGTGAAGGCAATAGGCATGCAAGCCAGGCGAGGTGGTGCATACCTATAATCCTAGTACTCGGATGGTCTGCAGAGGCAGGAGGATCGCCATGAGTTCCAGGCCAGCCTGGCCTGCATAATTCGTTCAAGGCCAACCTGAACTACATAGTGAGACCCTGTCTCACACACAAAAAAGACATGCAACATGTGGTATATAGTCTATACCAAAGGAAACCAGAATCAGTGAAGTAAGGAAGGGTTGTATGCAGTATACATAAACACCCAAACATTGAGGCTCAGTTTAACATAAGTCAGTCTGTTAAAATTTCATTTCCTTTGCAGTACAAAGCCTTCACAGTTACCAGTACAGCACTTCCTCCAAAGTGGAGCTGTATAAATTGTGTGCACTTCAGTGCTTTTTTTTTAACCTCGCTTGTATGTAATGTTTCATTTCATTTTATTGTCAGGGGTTAGGGACTCTCCTGTTTGGCACTTTAGAGATGGTACGTGTTCAGTTCCACCTCTTTAGAGTTTTCTCTGTTTTAGTCAAACTCTACATGTTATTGCCACATCTCAATTTCATGCTCAAAAGAATTTTTTTTCTTCTTTCTTTTTTTTTTTGGTACCAGGAATCGAACTCGAGCCTCATGCTTGCCAGGCAGGGACTGCGATTTTTTTCCTTTTTTTAAACACAGGGTTTCTGTTATATAGTTCAGGCTGGCCTTGAACTCATAGTGATCCTCCTGCCTTAGTCTCCCATGTGCTGGGATTACAGGCGTGTGCCACTACACCTGGCTTCCCTTCCTTATACTGTTTGTATCGCCACAAAGTAAGAGACAAAAGTGACTCTGCATAGTCAAATAGCCTAGGTATGAAGCATGACTCAAAACATAGTTAGGTGTTTGACCTTAGGGAAGCTATTTATGCTAAAACAGTGTCTGCCACACAGTACACACTTGATTTGTGTGTGTGTGCTATTAATATTTTCCTCTACATTCATTGAAATATACTCTGCTTCTCTAATTCATTAACACTGTTCTAATTCTGATCAGCCTATAGATACTTAAATGTGAGGATAGTTGTTTTTTTCTTCCCCTGGTACCAGGAATTGAACTTGGGACCTTGCAACTTTCCAGGCATGTGCGGTGCCTCTGAAATACATCTGTGGCCCAGGAGGATAGTTTTTTAAGTTAGTAAAATTCTGTTAAATTTTTCACAACATTAAATCATTTCTGTTGTAACATTGTTCATTAATATTTCTGAATTTTCAATTCTATAGTAAATTACGACCTTTTTTTGCCTTTGCATAGGGAAAGTGTTGTATGAATCTGTTAGGTATGAGGCATACCATTCAGCAGGGTAACATCAAGCTTCCAGAGTTCACTGATAGTCTCAATTTCAGATAACCATTTCACCAGTATTAAGTATTTGTTCTGCCCACTTTTCATCTCCACTAGTATCATTAGCTTTGGGAAAAAAAATGTTCTCAATAGAATGGTCAGCTGATTCCTCCTCCTGCTTTGATGTTATTTAGGTAAAGGAGTGAACTTACTAAAATTTTCTCCAGTATTTGCTCATAGATTCACATTAGTGCTTTCATGCACTAGTGGTTATTGATTATTCTTTACAGTTTTTCATACGGTTACTGTCTTGGTTACTTTTCTTGTTGCTGAAACAAAATACCCAACACCCAAAGTTAAAAGAAGAAAGGTTTATTTCAGCTCACAGTTTGTAGAGGTTTTGGTCCATAATCAGCGGGCTCCAAGGCAGGGTGGCATGGCAGAAGAGCATCACTGAGGAGAAATAATCCATATCATGTAGGCAGGAGACAGCAAAGCAGCAAGCAACATCAGCCTGCCTTTCCTTTATCTTCCAGGCCACCCGCCTTTTGGGTGGTACCACCTACACCCAGAGTAAGGCACCCTTAATCCCTGCATCACACACCCTAGATCCACCCACCTCTGAAAAGCCCTACACATGACCATGTGAGGCTTTTTGGGGACATCTAGATACAAGCCATAACACACAATAAAGTATAAACCATTTTTTTGTTGTTACTCAAGTTTTACCTCTCTGATAGTCATTGTACTGACTTGAACACTTAGTGAAAGTTTAATTTACCATTTTTCTTCGATTCTGGATAGAGTTGAGTGACTTGTCTTCAGTGTAGATTTTTTTTTTTAATCCTGTTTTCTAAGAACTGCCGCCTTCTATTACCTCTTCTCGTTCTTTTATATCCAACACTGACAGATTTTAGGAATTATGCTCCCCCAACAAAAACATATCTTCATAAAATGCATTAACCAGCCGCGTTCTTTTGGGATGTATATGCTGGCCTAGACTTTCTCAGTAGCCTGGCTCATTCCTACACATCGGCCATGACATACTAAGTCTATGAGTTCTTTTTGGTTAAAAAAAAAATGTGTTACCCATTTTGGCAGACAGTATATACCTCTCTGGAGAAATAGATGTTTTGGGGACTGGAGCAGGGGAAGTATAAGATGATCTTTCAGGGCCAGGGATATAGCTCAGTGGCTCCGTGCCTGCCTTGGAAGCATAAGGTCCTAAGTTTGATCCCAAGTAAACCCCCCCCGCCCCATGATTTTTCAACATCTTATTCCTGAAACTTGGAAAGTGCTCAGGGAATCGTGTTGACATGTCATAAGAATATACGAGTTGGGTTTTGCTGACCCAAACTGGGTCAAAATAATGAAAATAATTGAACCCGCTGAATAACATGAATATACTTATGTAATATAAATGTAGAACATAGGATGAAATAAGCCAAGGGATGAGATACTTAACTTTTGGAATGGTGGAATGAGTTGCTTAGCAAACCTTAACAAAGCAACTGCTCAGCTGGAGCAAATATAAAAATAATCATTTAAAGTGTCTGGAAATTGTTATAAGGGGATATAGCAAATGAAGAAGCATTCAATAAAATCATTTAAGTCTCGGGAAAAAACAAAAGCCCCAGCTTGCTCTCTTCTCCCCATACTCAGCTTTATCATGTGGCAACTCTCCTGTGGGTAGGTGTGACTAAGAAGGCCCCTTTTCCCCACTGCTGCTAGTCTCGGACTGTAGTTTCACCTTAGGAACAGCTGGCTACCAGCATTTCTTATCCTTCTCATTCTTGTGTTGGACAAGCTCTGTTCTAGGCAGATGTGGCCAAGAGGACTGAGACTCTTTTTACCCTACTCAGTGCCTACTAATAGGATGAAGCTTTATTCCAGGCATTGCAGGCTGAAAACACTGGCGATCTGATTACCCCCCACCTCAGCTTGTTCCTAGGATGCAAATTCCCAGTTAAGGGCCACAGTCTGGGAGGAAAAAAAGAGTGGTTTCCACTTCACCCCCATACTAATACCTGTTCATAAGACAGGGGTGTCCTGGAAAAAGCTGGCTGCTGTCCTGCCTGTGGCTCCTATACAGTGGTATGGATGTTCTGCCCAGGAGAGAGAAGCTGTGAGGATGAAGAACTCAGCTTTATCCTTAGAGGGACTCTTTGGACCAGAGCATGCCATGCCTCAGGGTGTTGCCAAAACAAGTGGACATTTTGGTGAACAGTTAAGATGCTGTTTGTAGTTCATTTGTAGTGTAGTAGTCCTAAAGGAAATAGGGGAAAAGCAAGTGACATTAGTGGTGCAATCTGCAGAAAAAAAATGGAAGACTTGAACACCATAAACCAACTAGCCCTAACACATCTGCAAAACGCTCCACCCAATGATAGTAGAAACTACCAAAAGTATATGATCATCTCAGTAGATGGAGAAAACGCATTTGACAAAAT